AAAATGTATTTCGAGAGAGCTAAAAAAGGTTAGCCGACAGCCAAATTCTGTATTGTGAACAGCTTGGAGTTCACCATTAGCTAGTGGGGTAACCATGCTGATAACGAAAATCATAGCCATTCTCCATGATAGTGGCTTACTATAGGATATGTTGGCTTACCATATGATTATGTGATGAAGGGTTAAATTCACAAATTTACCTGAAAAACGGTTCACTGAGGTCAATTTACATGCTGATTAACATATCCATTCCCCGTTACAAGGCCATTTCGTAAGGTAGACGTAAAATTATTCAGTTTTTTCCTTTTCTGGAAATCAGTGATTTTATCTTACATAGTATACCTACCCCAATTTTAGAAAGCTTGTGAGATGTAGGTATCAAACGATATGGGATTTTATTCAACTCTGCTAGACCACTTTTTTGAATCCGTGATTTTGACTATTGCAGCATATACCTACCGTAAGTCTACAAGAAGTACTTCGTGATAGATAAATATGATTTTCGTTACCTCATCATATCCGATTACTCCCAAAGATAGCATTATAGCAATACTCAAGCCCCTTACATTCGCACAAAAATTTAACGTATTCGTTAGTTTTTTTGGTCCCCTAAACTTTTACTTCATACAGTTCTCATTTAATACGGCAGAAATCTGATTAGCTAAGTATAATTGCTCATGGAGGAGGACGCCAAAACTTCCAACTTCCTAAAGAACATTTAGGTTTGAAAAAAGAGCAAGAAGTCGTCCGACAACCCACATAACATTACTTTCAGCACCTAGATGTCAAGAGAAAGGAAGAAAGAACAGAAGAGAGGTGCAAAACTTTAAATTCTTGGACAAAATACTTAAGGATTTGTGCTGCTAAGAAAACAACGTGCCGACAGATTGGCGACGAACGTTCAATAGGTTTCTTTAAAAAATTCTGTAACTTTGCACAAATACTAATTAGGACCGCTTGGATGACCTGGAAGGGGAGCTTATATCTGACGAATACTCAACGTCCTTAGTTGATGTAACCAAATATAGTTGAAAAAATATGCGCGAGTGGGCGATAAATGTACTGAAACTTTTGCGTCGACGACTATTTGTCGCCGTAGGCCCCGCTCCTGCAGCTTACTGATTGTTTTCAGGATTAGCGTATTACTGGACCTTAGAATAGGCTAACACAGACATAAATAAAAAGAAACATGAAGTTGGAGTAGTTTCAAGAGTAGGGCCTAACAGCAATAATTAGTTATACCCTTTTCACTCAGCGAAAAAAGCATGCAAATGACTTTGGACAAGCTGACGTTGTTGCTTCTCATTCTCATCAGTTTTGGAAAAGGCTTGAAAATATC